TGTCTCACCCAACACTGAAGTGATGGTCAAAGTAGCAGCCTTTCTCCCATAGTGTCTCACCCAACACTGAAGTGATGGTCGATGTAGCAGCATTTCTCCCATGGTGTCTCACCCAACACTGAAGTGATGGTCAAAGTAGCAGCCTTTCTCCCATAGTGTATCACCCAACACTGAAGTGATGGTCGATGTAGCAGCATTTCTCCCATGGTGTCTCACCCAACACTGAAGTGATGGCCGATGTAGCAGCCTTTCTCTCACTCTGTTTCACCCAACACTAAAGTGAGACGCCCTAAACATAAGGGGCACACTGTAATAAGTAGGCATATGGACTCGTACCTTTGTAAAGAGTTATCTCCCTGTCTCTGGGCTTCAGAATAAGTTGATGAACACAGCGCATCCATGGTTTTAGCATGAGTTTAGGTCTCTGCATTACTTCTGGACACACTGGTAGCACCGGTCTAGGTCACTACATGACCCCAGGAGACACTAGCAACACGAGTCTAGATCTCTACTCGGTTCCTGTACACACTGGTAGCACCAGTCTAGGTCACTACATGACCCCAGGAGACACTAGCGACACGAGTCTAGATCTCTACTTGACCCCTGGACACACTGTCAACACGAATCTAGATCTATACGTGAACCCTGGACACACTGTCAGCATGAATCTAGGTCTATACGTGAACCTTGGACACACTGGTAGCACCGGTCTAGGTCACTACATGACCCCAGGAGACACTAGCAACACGAGTCTAGATCTCTACTCGATTCCTGTACACACTGGTAGCACGAATCTAGATCTCTATTTGACCCCTGGACACACTGTCAGCACGAATCTAGGTCTATACGTGAACCCTGGATACAGTGACAGCACGAATCTAGATCTCTACTTGACCCCTGGACACACTGCAGCACGAGTCTAGGTCTATACGTGAACCCTTGACACAGTGACAGCACGAGTCTAGGTCTATACGTGACCCCTGGACACAGTGTAGTACATGGAATGAGATTAGGCCCGAACAAGGCAGTTTTCCTGTATACGGAACCCTTAATGTTATAGAAGCATTTATATGTGCATATCTTTTAAACATTTTTTAGGCTAAACGGTTTACGTTTATAAGTTAAGAGAGAAAGAAAATGTGGTACTTTTTCAAGTACCACAGGGCTTGCCATTGGGGCATTATAATGTGACGGTTAATCCCACTATTCATTGGTAAAATAGTAGCCAGATAGTTAGCTATGGGGGTGTTCACTGCTGTCTTCCCTCTAATCTATCACTGCTAAATTAGAGATGGCTAACGCAGAGGGCTCTCGAGTAGCTTTGTGCGAAATTCCAAACAAACCAATCCAATCAAAGAAGGATATTTAGATCCGAATCAACTTCAGAAGGAAAGACACTTACTTTTTCGTGCCTTTCTTTTAACATTTTAACTGTTCTATGACTTTAACCAGTCATTTCACTTGTAACGATCAGATTAGGTTGAAATGTTGTTTAATAAAATTCTCACGATTATAACATGAAAATTGAGAAGGTGAGATCTTTCAGTGTGCATGATGTAATGACTTATAAATTAAACCAATGTTGTTTTTTAAGTGTTCGTGCAATGTGTAAACAACTGTAAAATAAAATAAAACCAGGAGTAGATGTCTTGATTATTTGAAGGCCTCAGTTACGGATTAACAAGTACTCTTGCTCATCATTGACCCTTCATTGACCTTTGAATGTACAATTACGTCACACTCATCGAGTATGTCATTTCACATGACTCAACAATTTGTTATAAGTGGCCCGGATATAACAATTACAAGTAAATTCAGTAACTAATAATGCCGGAATACGGTCCTTAAACCTAAAAAAGTGTAGGCAATAATTAGTTTTACAATTTATCTCATATATACCATACAAAGTATATTACATACATGATTTTGAAGATATTGGGTCCATCTCAGTGTACAGAAGATATGATTAACTGGGGGACATCATGGTGGCATATGGTCTGACGAGTCTGAGATTAAATGGGATGGTCTTTATAGGGCTCCTACAAATGTTTTGACCACTAGCCCAATCCTGAGTCTCTGTGATGCTACCTCAGAACTGCTGAGAGAGATAGAAGATGCCACTGGTAGACACTGTCAGCCAGCTCGAGCTGTTTTGCCAGCAAATGAAACAATGAGTACCAACTAGTGACGATGGTGTTCAATGGAAAAGTGTGTAAACCTCCCTGTGATGTCACTGTGTCCAGGGGTCACGTATAGACCTAGACTCGTGCTGTCACTGTGTCCAGGGTTCACGTATAGACCTAGACTCGTGCTGTCACATTCAAGACGTATATCCCACTTAGGTATAGCCAATGTTGCTGCTAACATAGCAATGTGAGGAAGTATTAGGAGATTAAAACTCTCCTCATTTTCAGTTGAGACAACCAGTGACGTGGGTTGCGCTGATGCTCTGAAAGAGGTGATGTTATTGTTTTAGTGTATATCATGTCTTACTCTTTCAGCCTAGAGCATATATATCGTGAGAAAAGACAGAGAATTACATAGCATCTTTCTGTGATCTAGAAGCATCATAAGACGTTATGTAAACTCTTCTTTTTTTGACGTGTTATTCTTGTATTAAATTTATATCGATTTCCCCCTAAGGGCATAGTGGTAATTCTACAGAGTGGGCACAACACAGGTAGCCCATTGTGCAGTTTTGTGCTTAGCTCTAAAGAAACAAACATACCAACTTCAATTTGTTTGACATTGGGTCCAATCCATTTTCTTTCAATTCTGACCAGTCGAATCTTCCGTTACAACTCAGTGATAGAATTCCTGACTGTTCCTCTTGTTATTTGGTTGATACCCTAGCGGTGAACCAGCAAAACACCATATTAATATCCAAACAAACTTAGGAAGAAACGTCGTATTTTTGGTTGTTGTTTTTTTTCCTGAAAGTGACTCAACGGTAGGTTTCGATAGTCATGGTGGGTACAGCACAGATAGCCCATTGTGTAGATTTGTGTTTAAACAAATACAGTTCCCTGCTTTAACTGTTTAATAAATTTAAAGTAAGTATTAAGATGTTTTCATTTATTTTACTTCTACTGATTACACTAAACGATACAGGAATTAACCCATTAGTACCAGTGGTGATTTGAAGCTGTTTAACAATAAGCAAGTAAAACGTTTACTAACTCACTGGTGTAGTAGAGTTAATTTGGACTATTTACTCATATAACAATTAAGAAGTAAAAATATTTTAAAAACTCACCCGCCTAGTTACATTTAATTCAGTCAACATTTAATGATGTAACGATTAACAAGTAAAATATTCTAGAAACTCACCCACTAGTTACATTTAATTCAGTCAGTAAGTAAAATATTCTAAAAACTCACCCGCTAGTTACATTTAATTCAGTCAGTAAGTAAAATATTCTAGAAACTCACCCACTAGTTACATTTAATTCAGGCAACAAGTAGAATATTCTAGAAACTCACCCACTGGTTACATTTAATTCAGTCAATAAGTAAAATATTCTAGAAACTCACCCACTAGTTACATTTATTTCAGTCAACAAGTAGAATATTCTAGAAACTCACCCACTAGTTACATTTAATTCAGTCAACAAATAGAATATTCTAAAACTCACCCGCTAGTTACATTTAATTCAGTCAACAAGTAGAATATTCTAGAAACTCACCCGCTAGTTACATTTAATTCAGTCAACAAGTAAAATATTCTAGAAACTCACCCGCTAGTTACATTTAATTCAGTCAACAAGTAGAATATTCTAGAAACTCACCCGCTAGTTACATTTAATTCAGTCAACAAGTAGAATATTCTAG